TTTTTATTGAAATAAAAATAGTTTGACTTCTGCTTTGTTTCAAAGCTTATTTGATCTAGAAATAGCCATTGAAATAAGACAAGTACACAAACGTTTCATAAAATTACCCATAGCACTATTATTTTGGCACGACGTGCTATAAAGTTTTTGTACTTATACTTTCTCTATATCTAGAAGGTTCTAGTCTTTTTAGATTTAATTTTGTCCCAAACTTTAGCGAGGGACAAATCATAATCTCTGTCAAAAAACTTTATAACACTGCGAACCAAAATAAAATATTGTACAATAGTTAATGAACCAGGATTGAATGAATGCTCATGAAAGGAATGCATATGGTCTCAATTTGGATCGTTAATTCTATATGTAATCGTATATTTCATATTTTCTTTTGTTCGTTTTTATAGATTTAAAAATTTGAACATGGGTGCCTTCACTGTAACAAATATTTTATACATTTTTGAAAATGGTGTCACATGTCACTTTAGCTTACTTTGATAATGTAAGCGCATGAAGTTGGTAGATTATCTTGGCCAAGATATAATGAAATATTTTTGTTACAGAGAGATCCCGAGATGGGCAGTGGAGCAAATCTCCGAGATCTAACGGTCAAGATTCAAACAGACAAACACATCAGACACACGTGAACCGTCTCCAGATTACTCATGTGTGAAATAGAAAAGTTAAAAATGAGAAGCTCTCGCCTTTCTAAACTGTTAAATGATGAGATGTGAAATGCGCGAAGCCATATTGTTTGAGCCCAGATATGGGAGTAATGCCGCAAAAGTTTTTTTAACTTCCGGTTTCCGCCATGCCTCGTCACCATCCAACCGAATCACGGAGAAATTTGAAATAAAACGGAAACTAGAGGGTTCAGTGAACAGGGCGTGGAATGCTAAGGGTTCAGTTTAAGCACTAAAGACATAAAGATGAAATCCACAAACTCTTTTTTTGAGAGAGTTAATGTGGGAACTTGTAAGAGAGATCTTGAGTTTCTGCAGACAAAAAAACTGGATGCTTAGGAACTGTGACCAAATTATGAAACGTGACAGCTTGAACTCTTTCCTTTTTCCCATCTTCCTGTCTTCCTGTCTAGCTATCCTACACCAGTTCCTGTCTTCCTGCCTAGCTATCCTACACCAGTCTCTCCCTTCCTGCCTAGCTATCCTGCGCCAGTTTCTTCCTTATTGCCTAGTCCTATGTCGGTTCATGTCTTCCTGCCTATACTATCCTTCACCAGTTCCTGTCTTCCTGCCTAGCTATCCTACACTAGATTCTGTCTTCCTGCCTAGCTATCCTACTCTAGTTCCTGTCTTCCTGCCTAGCTATCCTACACTAGTTCCTGTATTATGCCTTGGTTTCATACACCAGTTCCGGTCTCCTATATAGATATATATCTTCAAGTTTATAGGGGACCTCGCCTTGTGCTATAAAAACATCGATCCATACAGAACGTCAGTAGTTATGGGTCAATCCATCAATCCATCAATCATATGAATTCTCGTGTTTTGAAGGGCAGCAATAGTAAAAACGCGCCAAAGTAAAGCGTGCTCCGTATATAGATGTGTGATATGGCATTTACTGTACAATTCATTATCATGTTTAGTGTACACTGTACAGATACAGATTAAATTTGATGTTCTTTGTTCTTTTTGAACTTTTCCACGATTCTTGTCTGATATATATATATATATGTTTGTACAGCGTTATGAAATTTAATGTATGTACATTGTACAGTACAAATTTGCACATTTTTTCATGTGAACATGGTTGACAAAAAAAATATACCTTTTGTTGATACTGTACTGTGTACAGTGACATAAATTCTCAAGTTTCATGTTATTTACACAAGTTTAATAATTCCTTATAGTTGTACAGCCGTATTCATTCTGCACTTTGGTAATTATGAACCGAACATGTTAGTGTACATGAATATACTTCAGTGTGCAGTGCACATTTCCTAGAGATAATTAGTAAAACTTGTTTAAGGTGTTGCCTAAACTAAACCACGTAAATTTTATTATCTTATATTTTATCCAACCTCGTGAAAAAATAGAAACTTTACTGCGTTATTTCGGTTCCATACTTCTGCTTTTTTATGCATATTCTGTTTAATTTTGAGGCATTCTTATTAATTTAATATCGTCTTTTTTATTGATCAGCACCTTTTACATTATGCTGTATAGTGAAAGGGGGGGGGGTATTTAATGTAAACTTATATAGAAAGTATAAATAAACATAATGTTGATTAACATAAAAATATAAAAAATCTGTATTTAATAAATATTGATTTAATTACTTACATTAAAGTTTTTTTTCTGCGATAGAAAGAGATATACATAACAAATTCGCGTTTTTCAATATTGTTTTTAATTTTTTATGTAAATTTTACATATAGTTAAATGTTCCTTCAGGGGGTTCTTTTTTTGGTCGGTTTCTTAAATTTTTTGCTTTGCAAGAATAGCAAATGTTGTAAAATTGTTTATTCTAAATAGTAAATGTCTTTTATACTTTGTCAAATTTTGAGTCTGGCAGAAACGATCGAAAAACTGTCGAATAACGATAAAAAACAAATTTTTGTAGCGATCGTTTTCCGACTTTTTATTTGTTTGAAAGATATTTCTAAGTTTTATAAAAGCAAAGTTTAACATAATACAGTTTTAAAAACTTGAAAGTTTATTTGAAGTTTTTTATAAAAACTATCCAGAACGAAAACAACACCAATTACATATACGTAAAAAGTCTGGAGGAAAATAATCTGTCAAATATTTTTAAAGCTTCCCCATACCCTACCATTCACACCGGACTAACCAGAGTTAGAGGCATTCGGTTTCTTCTATTTGAAATCATACTCGTTATGGTCTATAATTAAACAACCTTTAAACTTACGGATTTCATTGTTATATACTTTTTATTCAAAATGCATATGCCAACAAAAAAGTATATAAGAAAAAAGGCTAAAAAATTATGTTTAATAGAACAAATTGTGATCGAAAGCCACAGTTTTCTGGAATATTGACAGAAACGTTAAGTCCACGTGCATTTGCACTAAAGTTTAAAAAAAGATATTTTTTTTAAATTATGCGAATTTTTAATCTCTGATCAAAGATGTTAACCAAAACGATGTTACAAAACAAAAACGATTTTCTAATCGTTATCATCTTTAGTCAGAATAAAAATTTAACTAAAATAAAAAAACAAACTTGTCTGGCAATTTTGAAATAGAATTCGCATCCTCAGATTCTTTTGATGCTTAAAGTCTGAAAACGGGGCTCAAAACAATGCTCACCAGTGGCAGCAAAACTTCAAGATTTTTAGGACATTTCATGCAGGTTTACCCACCAAGGATGATACTGTTAAGCTTTCTGCCTGAAATATAGTATTTTATGACTATTTTTATGATTTGACAAAGAAATAAACATTGTAATTGAAGGGAACAAAACAGATAAATTTCGGTAGTCGTCTCTGAAGTCTAATTCTTTTAGGGTAAACCTGTAAAATTCTTAAATAACTTTATTTTTTCAAAATTTATGGACTCCTATTTAGAGTTAAATTTTACAGCTCAGAACGGATATTAATAACAAGTTAGTTAAACCGGCCTCCTTTGCCAAATATATTCGCTGAGCAAACTTTTTAGCGGATGCAAATTTGCAAACATTGCAAATTTTGCACTCCACCTCTAAATCTTATTTTAGGTAACTAAACAGAGGGAAGGGTTTGAAATAATAGAACGCAGAAAGCCTTATTTATATGACCCCTTATTGTCATATTCATATTCGGAAACATTTCAATTGCAATAATTACACTTGTCATTAGTAAACTTTGTTTTAGTTACAATTGCAAAATTTAAAAAAAAAATTAAATTTGACCCCCCCCCCCCCTACAGCGCTCGGCACATTTTTAAACATCGGGAAGATTTATTTAAGCCTTGACTCGATCCAAGAATAAGATTCTTCCCCTTCATTTTATTTTTGTGAAGTTGTTTTTATATAAATATTTATTGAATCTAAGCAATACAAAGCAAAATTAACAGTAAACAAAATCATAGGGTTTCACATAGAGTATATTATTTGTTGATGGTAAAAAGACACATTTTTGAATTTTTTAACATGTTCAATTTGGTAAATAGCGAAAAAGAGAAAAGGACATTTAAAGAAAATAAAATTATCAGCATAAGCTCACATTGAGGAAATTTTTTTACGTGCTTAATCTGGAAATAGATAGACTAAAAGAATTAAGATCAGATTTNCGCGCTTATTTTTCGCCTTAAGCCTTTACCCACTTTCATTTTTCGCGAACACTCCCTTTAAGAAATAATGCCAAATAATTTCTGAACAGTCGTCTCTGAATTTTCTTGTTTTGTGGGTATCTCTGTTTTATTAAGGATGATATGTCACATGACACGTATATGCAATAAAACAATTTTGTTGATTATTTGTTTTCACAAAAATATCTAAAATGTACAGAATATATTCCTCCAATATATTCTGCTTGGAATAGAGGATATATTCCTCCAATATATATTCTGCTTGGAATAGAGGATATATTCCTACAATATATATTCTGCTAGGAATAGAGGATATATTCCTCCAATATATATTCCACTAGAAATACAGGATATATTCCTACAAAATATATTTTACTAGAAATACAGGATATATTCCTCGATCCAGAATATTCTACCAGGAATTTAGTAAGCGCCTACTCAATAACAATTTACCGAAAAGTATCTATTCAGGCACAGTTCAGTTTCACTTAAAAATTAATATTTATATTCGGATACAATCTCGTTAGCTATTGATATCAATCGGGAGCTCATAACTATCAACGCTAAATCAAAGGACACGATCTTGTTAACTATCGGTGTCAATACTGACACTAGCGATCTATTTATTAATGTTTTAAAAATGATCCACATGGCTACAATCTTGTGAACTATCAACGGCACTATCACTGGGTGTGATGTTAACTTTTTCATATTTTTGAAAAACGATCGTTTCGTTATGAAAACGACGACAAATAAAGAAAACGAAACAATTGTTTTTAAAAACAATTGTTTTTAAAATGCAGGATATATTCCTCCAATATATATTTTACTAGGAATACAGGATATATTCCTCCGATATATTCTACGAGGAATACAGGATATATACCTCCAATATATTCTACTAGGAATACAGAATATATTCCTCCAATATATTCTACTAGGAATGCAGGATATATTCCTCCAATATATTCTACTATTATCGTACAGGATATATTTCTTCAATATATTCTACTAGGAATACAGAATATATTTTACTAGGAATACAGAATATATTCTACTAGGAATACAGAATATATTCTACTAGGAATACAGAATATATTCTACTAGGAATACAGAATATATTCTACTAGGAATACAGAATATATTCTACTAGGAATACAGAATATATTCTACTAGGAATACAGAATATATTCTACTAGGAATACAGAATATATTCTACTAGGAATACAGAATATATTCTACTAGGAATACAGAATATATTCTACTAGGAATACAGAATATATTCTACTAGGAATACAGAATATATTCTACTAGGAATACAGAATATATTCTACTAGGAATACAGAATATATTCTACTAGGAATACAGATTATATTCTACTAGGAATACAGAATATATTCTACTAGGAATACAGAATATATTCTAATAGGAATACAGATTATATTCTACTAGGAATACATAATATATTCTACTAGGAATAGGATTGGAATAGATGGGTCTCCATCTCATGATGAAAACCTGTTTTTGAAATAATCTAAATCATTGATTAGATAAACCGCATACACAAACCTTTGTAGAGAATCAACAATCAGAGTGAAGAGGTAGTCAAAAATATAGTTTGTTATACATTTCTGTATATTTATCTCTCTATCTCTGTATCTATCTAAAATATATCTGTCTATCCATTTAATATCTTTTATCCATTTATCTATCTATCTATCTATCTATCTATCTATCTATCTATCTATCTATCTATCTATCTATCCATATATCTACGTGTGGGGAATTAATGATATGTTACCAGTATAAGTTTTGACGTTTAATTTACGTGAGTTAGTAAACGCCCTGGCATTCATATTTATAGAATTATATCTACATGTATTCTATTATTGATAATAAATTATCGAATCTTATTCTTATATTTAGTATTTACTGTGTCAGGAAACTATGAACATTTTCTCTTTGTCTTTCTCTGTATTGAAATTAGCCGTTCTTGCTTGGTTCCCTGCCTTTGTAAATTTGGTTTATTCTTAGTCAAATCATCTAGTGCTTATTGTGACCGTTAACAATTAAAAGTTTTAGGGTCATCAAAGTCTTTAGGGTAACCCTGCCACAGGCAGTGGTAGTACATTTGAATTTCCGAGCCAGGTCAACCTTTCCGGTCCCAGTTTGTACTGTAACGCCCGGACATTGGGTAAATAAAGAAGACACTCAATAGGACTATTATAGCCGGTGCAACAAGGTTGACGCGGTCAGACTTTAGGTTGAATTTACTTTTACTGAAGGGTCAGAGAGGTGCGTGATGTGGTATTGTTTTTCATGGGCTACCCTGGACTATTCATTGCTTGATGTATTCGTTTTTTTCAATTTTAATTCAATTGTGTTTTGGCCTTTTAAAGTTTTGTTTTACTTTTTATTTGCAACGCCTAGA